CGCCGCCAGCGCAGGATCGGCTCCCCAGGCCGCCAAGCGTGCTCCGCCACTGGCCCTCCGCTCCAAGGCCGCGGCGGCCCCTCCGCCTGCTATCGGGGTGGGCTCGTCGCGCGTCGGCTCGCGGGAAGCGCCAAAGGGGGCCTCAGCAGCTACCCCCCGCACCTTCCAGCGAGCGGCCAGGGTGAGCGCCTCTCGCCAACTGCTTGGCGTAGTGGACGGGGCCTCGCGCGGCACAATTGAGGCCGCCTTCAGGCGCCAGTCCCTAGTCTACCATCCAGACAGGACTCCCGCGCACCTGGGCGCCGACGAGCGAGCAGCCCGCGCGCTGAAGTGGAAGCAGCTCTGTGACGCCAAGTCAGTGTTGCTCCAGGCCGTCTCGCAGGCCGCCGCGCCGCCCGATGTTCCTAGCACGGGCGGCGACGGTCCTGCCGCCCGCGCCTACGCCCGGGCCAAGGCGGCAGGAAAGGGCGCCCGCAAGGGCAAGCTGGCTCCAGGGTCGACCATGGCCCTTCAGGCGCTCGAAGAGGCGGTCTCCTCGCGGGTCGCCCTTGCGAGCGCCGAGCTGGCCCCTCGGGCTGCCCTCCCCGCCTCGGGCGCGCCTCTCCCGAGGGGCGGGGTTTCGTCTGCCCTCGCGACGCGGGCGGCTGAGTCGGATGCCACCCTCGTCTCCGCCGTGTCGCGCGGCCGCGTGGAGCTCGACGCACTCCGCACCGCGCGTGCCGACGCCACCAGGCGCACGGTGCAGGCTCCTGCACGCGGCGAAGGAGAGCGTGCCGTCGCTCGTGCCGAGCTCGCGGAAGGGATGGCCGATCGCGCCTACTTCCGACGCGTGCGCGAGGCCGCCAGTCGAGAGGCCGCGGGCTTGCCGCGCACTGCTCCCGTCCAGCTGGGTCGGGATTGGCGCAAAACCTTGCGCGCCGTCCTGCACAACGCTGAGGTCTCGACGGGCCTCGCCATCGCAGAACGTGCCGCTCGTGCTGGGGACGCACCCGCGTCGTCCACTGGCCGCTCCTTGGCCGAGGTGGAGGCTGAGGACCCGCGCGCCTTGGCAAGGCCCGCCGACGACCCTGCGTCCAGCTTCAGCCGTCGTGAGCGGCGCGCGGTCCGCGCCCGCCTGGGCCCGCGGGATGAAGCGGTCGAGGACCAGCCCAACCGCGGTGGTCACGCGCCGCACTCCGCCTCGCGCACGGGCGCCGCGCGCACCAGGCGCGCCGCCAGGCAGCGGCGGGCTTCGATGGCGGCGCTCCCCGCCCCTGAGGGGGGGGCCGCCACGGCGCCTGGCCGCAGGGCGCGTCGCACTGCCAATGCGCGCCGCTGGGCAGGCGCGGCACGCCCCAGCTCCGCCGCGGGAGTGGGCTCCCCACCGCGGAGCCGCAGCCCTGCCCGCAGCCGTACGCGGTCTCCAAACCCGTACGGGACCGACCGCACCTCTCCCTCGGGGGGCTGCTCGTCGCCTCCCGTCGACGGCCCGATCTCGCCCGAGGAGCCGTCGGAGCCGCCTGCGGGGGAGGCATCGGAGGGCCCGCACACTCCTGACGGGCCCCCGCCCGCGAGCGTTCGCAGCCGCTCGAGAGCGGAGCCCGCGCGCGACGAGGACTCTCCGACGGAGCTCGAGGACGTCGTGCTGAGTGCCCTCGCAGACTCCTCGATGGACCTCGAGCGCGTCGTGGCGGGCCTGAACCCCGAGGTCCTCCGCCGCCTGCAGGCGGCCTTCCCTCGCCGCTCGGGGGCCTCGCCGCCCGCCGCCCGCGCCTCGGTTCGCAGTCGCTCTCGGGGCCGCGGCACGCGTGTAGGCTCCGAGACTCCGCGGCCCGTGCCCCCGCCGCCGCCGCCGCCCCCTCACCACTCTGGTAGGCGTGCGGCGTCGCGATCCCGCGCGTCGACCGCAGGCCAGGGGCTTAGTCGGGCCGTCGCGCGCGGCTCCTCTCGCGCGCCTTCGCGTCAGGCGACGTCGCCTCGGCGTCGCGAGGTGCGCTCCCCTCGAGTCGCTCCGAAGCGGCGCCCGAGCCCCGCTACTGCGCAGCGGCCAGCCACGTCCCGCCATGGTGCGAGCTCGGGCGACGCCCACGCAGGCAGCTCCCGCGCGGACTCCGCTGCTCAGGCCCCTCAGTCTTCGGTAGGCACGCGCTCCTCCAGCGATGCTGTTGCGGCCCCGCAGGGCGGAGGGCGTGCCGCCGAGGAAAGGGGGTCTTCGAGCGGCCCCGCGCCTGGCCGAGATTCAGGGCACGAGCTGCATCCCAGCGGCTCCCACAGCGGCGACGCTGGGAGCGCCGCGGCTGCAGCCTTCGCAGCGCGGCGCACGGCCTCCGCGGCCGTTGAGCAGCCCTTGCCTCCAGGGGCCGCCACCGCCCTAGCGTGGCGTCTCAACCTCGGCGGTGAGAAGGTCACAGTGGTGAGGTGGGGACCCGCCTGGCAAGCTGCCTTCCAGAGCGCGGCGTCGTGGCTGAGGTCTTTCGCACCCGCAGGGGCCGCCGAGCCCGAGGGCAGAGATGACCTGCACTGCCTCCTGCAGGCCTTGCACGCCTATAAGCGCCTGTTTCAGACAGGCGGCGCCGAGCCGATCGACGAAGCCTCGTGGTTGCATCCTTACGTGGCCGCCGTCGAGCCCGAGGCTATCCCCGCGGGCGCTGACCTCCAAGCCATGGGGGCGGGCGCCATCCGTGGCATCGGGCTCGGCTCAAAGATCGAGCACAGGAGGCGCGCGGGCAAGTTGGCCTGCCTTTTCGACCTTCTGTACCACGTGCAGGACGGTCACGGCGCCATCCCAGCAGCGCTGTGGGGATCTCATTCCCCTCCGTCCGAGATCCTCGACGCGTTCGCGGAGGTGGTGCCCGTTCCACATCATTCGGGCCTCACGTCCTCGGCAGCTCGTTCCGAGCTCGCCGAATCGGCCGCAGCTGCGCGCGCCGAGCCGCGCCCGCCCTTTGACTGGGCGACCCTCGAGGGAGGGGGCGCTCTGCCCGCCGAGATCGAAGCAGGGGCTCGCCGTGCTCACCGTAACATGGGCGGATCCTTCACCTCGGCGCGGGCGATGCTGGCGGAGGCGTCGGGGTTCGAGACCGACGGGCGGGACACCCTCGTTCCGCCCTTCTACGCGTCCAGGAGCAGGAGGGCCGCCACGCTGATCAGCTCTCCCAGCCCTGGCCGCCCTGCGCTCATCCTGTGGTGCGTCTGCGGCCTCTGCATCTCCCTGGGAGCCGCGGCGCCGACCGCAGGTCGGTCTCTGTTTCGCCTGGGACTGGCCTGTGATGGCGGCCTTGCTGCTCATGGGCTTTACGATGTTCCTCAGGCCTGGCGAGCTGCTGGCGTCACGCCGCTGTGACTTGTCGCTTCCTTGCGACCGCCTCGAAGTTGAAGGGGATGCTTTTCTTTCGATTCTTGTTCCAAAGACCAGGAGAACGTACCCGACGCAGCATGCTCGCTGCTCCGATCGGGGCACGGTGAAGATTCTGAATCAAGTGTTTGGGCGGTTGGCTTCCACCGATCCTCTCGCCCCTTTCGGTGCGAGCGGCTTCCGTACTCGGTGGAATCATTTGCTTTCGGCCCTGGGCGTCCCTCTTGCCAAAGCGGGTCAGGGGCTCAACCTGACGCCCGCATGTCTGCGGGGCTCTGGCGCAACAGACTTCTATATCGCTACGGAAGACGTCCCTCGCGTCTTCTGGCGGGGGCGTTGGCGTCAGGCTTCCAGTGCTGAGCGCTACCTGCAAGCCGCCGCCGCTTCCACAGTTCTTGCTGCGCTGCCCGTGCCCGCACGGGCGCGGATCCTGTTCTTCGCCACCGCCAGCGACCGCCTTGTCGCTTCATTTCTCCAAGTCGGCCCCGCCGCTTGGCCTGCCCTACTTGCGGCCGCCCGCCGAAACCTTGTCACTTCGCAAGGTCCTTGAGCACGGGTATGGCTGCCTCGCCGTCGTCGGCGAGCAGGCGGTCTCCCCCGCCTGACGCGCGGCGCCCCGGCACGAGCGCGCGGGACGGGCCTGCCCATTTTGGGCCGCCCCGCGCGCGCGAGCCGCGGCCGCGCTCGGAGACAGCTCGCTAGCGCGCGAGCGGGAGAATGCCTCTTCTATTCTCTGTGAGCAAGCTCCTGCTGTCTCCGCAGCTTCTCTGCCCCCCTCCCTCCTCTCCCAATCTAAGGCTGATGGGCGCTGCCTCGCCGTCGTCGGCGAGCAGGCGGTCTCCCCCGCCTGACGCGCGGCGCCCCGGCACGAGCGCGCGGGACGGGCCTGCCCATTTGGGGCCGCCCCGCGCGCGCGAGCCGCGGCCGCGCTCGGAGACAGCTCGCTAGCGCGCGAGCGGGAGAATTCTTATTCTAGTCCTACTCTGCTATTCTACCCGACTTTACTCGACCTAGCGTCTACTCTCCTCGGATCTGTTCTATCCTACTCTACCCTTCCTCACTCTACTGCACGTGACCCCTACTCTACCCATATTGTACTGAGATTATCCTCTATTCTACTCTGCTTTACTCTACTCGACCCCATCAGTTATGCTATGTTAAGCCCTAGTCTACTCATGTACTGTACGCGGACAGTGTGTGACAATTGAGTGACGACCAATGGGGCGCCATTTAACACGTCACAGAAAATTGGTCGACTCGAATAGCAGAGGAAACCCTGGGACAACAGAGGAAGCCATGCGAATAGCAGAGGAAACCATGCGGATGCAGAGGATTCCATGCGGACATTTTGGCGACTGCAAGGGCAAAGTAGAAGGGGGTCAGCAGTGGGCCTTTCTGTACGCATGGAGCTAGGAGTCATATAGGCACGCCTATTTTGCGAAGGACGAAGACACGATGTCAACAATGACGCGTCGACGGCGACGACCATCACGACGAATCGACGGCGACGACGAGGGCGAGCGCGACATCGACGACGACCTCGTCCACGACGTCGACGACGACGTCGGCGGCAACGACGAGGGCGACGACGATGACGACGCCGAGGACGACGACGTCGACGATGGCCACGACGACCGGCGTCAGCGACGTCGACGCCGACGCCGAGGTAGTGGCGGCGCTGACGGGCGCCGAGCGCCTGCAGCTGGCCGTGGCGCCTGGCGGCGCGCGGGCCCCAGCGGCAGCCGCTTCCGATCGGAGGTTCTCAAGGCGTTCCGCATGCTTTGCGGTTGGCGTTGCAAGGACCGTGTGCGATGTGACGTCGCCGGCCCGTTCATGACACGCCGTCCCCCACCTCTGGGGCAGCGTACACAGGAGGATCCCTGGCAGGGACTAGCGTGTGTACAGACTGGGGCCCTCCCAGGGGATCGCCTCGCGGGGATATCGTGCTCTTCGGAGGTCGGTGTTGCACGCTATCTTTCCGCCGCCAACCGAAGGGTTAACTCAGCCCGGGCCGCAGCAAGCGAGAAAGGTTGTCGTCTTGCTCGTTTCGCTTCCCGGGTCGAGCACTCGCGGCTGCACATTCGGAGTGTTTGCGGGGGGGGTGGTCTGGACGGTTTCGGACGATTTCGGAGGTGGATCGGAGCGTTTCTGGAGGGATTCGAGGGAGGAGGAAAAGAAGGAAGAGGACCAGAGTAAACCCAAGATGTATCAGCGATGGGGGGCAACACACCCTCCCGTGTCAAATCGCCTCCACCAGGAGTTCCTACAAAAGCACTCCTCTCGATTGCGCGAAGTGCCCCCCCTTCGAAAGGGGAGCGCTCCATGCGCCCGCGCATCAGACGGGAGAGCGCCGGTTTGAGAGACGTTGGCCTGCATCAGCGGCACCGCAACGGGTACTCCCTGACGGGTATTTTCTGGAGGTTTGCCGGAAGCTGCCACTTTTGGGCCTCTCTCTGGCATTGCAGCGTTGCCCACATCGGGGAGGGTTGGGTTCGCTGGGTCACTGGCCACCAAAGTGCCCGTCAATGCAGTCCCCGTTGGAGGGGCGCTGACTCGAGGAGGGAGGGAGGAGGACGAGGAGGAGGAGGTGGAGGAGGAGGGGGAGGAGGAGGAGGAGGAGGAGGAGAAAGAGGAGGAAGGAGGAGGAGGAGGAGGAGGAGGAAAGAGGAGGAAGGAGGAGGAGAAAGAGGAGGAAGGAGGAGGAGGAGGGGAGAGGAGGAACGAGGAGGAGGAAGGGAGGAGGAGAAGGAGAAAGAGGAGGAAGGATGAGGAGGGAGGAGGAGGAGGAGGGACGAGGAGGAGGAGGAGCAGGATGGCGGAGAAGGAGGAGGAGGAGGAGGAGGAGGAGGAGGAGGGAGGAGGAGGAGGAGGAGGAGGAGGAGGGAGGAGGAGGAGGAGGAGGAGGAGGACACAAGGACAAGGACATCCGCATAAAGGGGGTCAGCGTCAGCACCTACGAAGGAGCTGCGCGCGCGACTAGCAACATCCACTGCGATTAGATTGTGCCGCTGACCCTCTCATGGGGGCCGGCAGGGGGCATGTCCCGAAGCTTCAAGGGACGAGCTCCGAGGTGGCCCCGTAAGAGAGGCTCGCTACCTTTGGAGTGCGTGTCCCAACGGTCGGGACCAGAAATATTTAATTTTCACTGGTTGTTTGGGTTTTCGGTCGCAGACGCTTAATTGAGTGATTACACGGCGCGCTCTTCGTTTCGCTTCCTGATGCCTCCTGGGAACGCGTAAACCAAGCGAGCGTGGCCATCGCAAGATGCTGCTGGGCTCCGCGAGAACGACGCGCGCGCTGTAGATGTATTTTCATGTGCTGGTGGAAAGCGGCGCGATGCGGGAAGCATCTGCTCTTCGGTTGGCTCGAGCGGCCCCCGAGCAGACATTGGGGCCGCATGTGCCTATATAGCCGCGGCTTGATCCCGTTCAATCAGCGCGCATTTCAAGGCTGCCTGGCAATGTCGACGGGAATCTTCGGGACCAAACGAATATGTGCACCGTTAATCTCCGCAGGCCTCAGGCGCGGGAGTGCGCGCGCCGCGCCGCAGATCGGTACGCGCGCTCAGGCGAGGACGCGGCCCTGCGTCGATCGGCCCGCCGCCTCAGGGCGCGCGCGGCGTCCGCCCTTGGAAACCCCGCCAGGCCGGATCGGTGAAATGAAAGATTTTGTTGTTTTGGGCGGGTCCAAACCGCGAAATCTTTCATTTCACCGGTCGCGGGTCTGGGTTGCGTCCGTGTCCGGGGCGGATGCGAGTGGTTCCTTGCGTGCTTATGCGGTGGGCTCGCTCTAGGGCGTTTCGGGCCTCTCTTGGGGCCTGTCGCGCTCTTCCTCGGGTTCTCCTACTGGCTCTCCCGAGGCCCCCGTGGCGCTATTGGGCCCACTTGCGTCGATGTGGAAGCTCGTCGAGACGTCTCGGCGACGGATTGGGGATTTGGGCTTCACCAGACGCCCAGGGTCGTTTCTCGGCGCGTTCAGGCCGACGCGTAGCCCCCCGCGATCCCCGGCCGCCCAGAGAGCGCCATTGGCGCCTGAAGGGTTTCTTGCAGGCGGCGGGATATGGTGTCCAAGTGTCGTGCGACGCAGTGCTGGGCGATCCTTCAAATCGCAAGCTCGGTCGATGCGCACAATTGGCGTCGCGTCGCTAAGATGTCGGCCTCATCGCGATCGCGATCATGTGGGCATGAGGGCCAGTAAATCAAAATCTACAGGCCAACCAGTGAAAGATAATCATTTCTGGCCCCGACACGGGTCAGTGCGGGGGGGGGCAGCTGTTGGCCCACTCGCGTGCCCATGACAATGGGGACGCGCTGGGCGAGCAGGGCGCCCAAGCGAGGGGGGAAACAACGACGCGACCACATTCAGAAAGGAGAGAAGGAGGGGATGCGGGAAGCCCTTGCGTGCCTAGCTTTGCTGGGGGGGTAGATTATATTGTATATACGACCTGTTGTTTTCTCATTCCTAACAGAGTATATCTCCATGTATGCATGTATATACATATATATATATATATGTCTCTCTCTCTCTCGTTCTCTCTCTCTCTCTATTTCCCTCTCTCTCTATATGTATAGGGTCACTTCTCTTCCTGAGCGTGCTGGCCGATGGCTGTCGTCCCGTGCAACGTCGTGTCTGTACCCTGATACCCTGCAGTAGTATCCCACAGTACCCCCTCGGTGCGGCGAGTAAGTAGGGGCGACCATACCTATTGTCACGGCGCGTGGGAGGTTGTTTTTTTTCCCGCTTTCTGTCCGCCGTCCGTACCACTGTCGGTTCGAAATAGGAGGGGCCTTAGGGATGCGCTCTAGTGGCCGTTGTGGTTGTGTCGTGTTCCAATCCTCTTCTCTTGCAGTAGTGTACCTGCCGGCTCTCCCAAAAATCATGTTCCAAGACGTTGTCGGTGCGAGCTCTCTCCTAAGGGCCATCTCGCCGAGCTGTCCCCGCTAGTGATGGTCCCTCTGAGTCTGCCCGTCTTGCTTGCCTACAGTCACTCTCCGAGATATCCGCGCTAGTGCTCCTCTTGGCGGTGCAAGTGGGCCTTCCCACGCGCGGCCGCTGGAGCTGGCCGCTTCCCCATGACGTGGCGCACTTCTGCGTCGTCAAGTTTCTGCGGGAGTCGTTCTGCAACAACCGCTTCCCATGTGTCTCCTACTCTCCTACTTTGGGGTCCACCACCATAGATGGCCCCCTCCTGTACGGGTGGAATTTCGCCTTGCACCCGATGTCGGGCCAGTTCTCGTAATATTTGCCGAAGTCCCCCTTCATGTTGTCCACCCATTATTTCATGTGCTCGTCTTCGGGGAAGCTCTCTTGCGTCGTCACCAGTTGCTGCCAGTCCACTTTGCACCCGAGCTTCCACTGGTCTCCCCTCGAGTTGGGGCTGGGGCCTTCCCACCACAGCTTGTTAGGGCAGGCCAGTCCGCACGAGCAGGCGCAGTCCTTCTTTGCGTCCCATCCTGCGCTCCTCCTGCACACGTTGAACAGATGCATGCTATCGCTCCGCTTGTCCGCGATGTCGAGCGCCTTGAGGTACTTTGGTTGCGTCTACCCCTTGTTATGTGCCGTCTTGTATTCGCTCATCTCGTGCAGCTCCTTGTCCTTCTCTTCTAGTTCCTTTGCCGTGTTATTCTGCGCATCGTAGTGCATCCGCCATGTTTCCTCCTGTTTGCTGAAGGCTGCGATCATGCCCCCATTTGTTTTCTGATGCCCCCCAACAGTGTTTTTGACATCTCTTTGGGCCTCTCGATGACCTGCTTGTTCCTTTGGTTGCGTGACTTCATCTTAGGTCCTACCTCAGCTTCTATGATCGCCTTCGCTGGCTGGATTTGCCCCAAGGGTTGAGCTGCCCACGCGATGCCTTTAGCTTTCCTCTTCTGTTATCGCCGCACTTGTTCCTTTGTGATGCACGGGTCTCCTCCATGCCGAATCTTTTCCTCATCACTCCACCCGATCCACTCCTCCTGCCTGAGCGCCAGTTCGCAGTCGATTCGCGCCCTCTTCCATTGACTTCCTTGTTTTCCTTGGTATTTGTCATGTCCTGGTTCGTTCTTGGCGGGCTCCCTGTGGCTCTCGATCATCTTATAGTACCCGAGCCCCGTTGCCGCATCGGCCGTTTGGCCATAGCTTGTCGCTGTCGGTGAATGCCATGGGCAGCCTCCAGCGTCCTGCACTCCGAGATATTCTCGCTAGTGCCCGAGCGCATTTGGACCGTCGTTGAGCCAGATGGGCTGTGGGGGCCGAAGGTGATCGATGTAGGCAGATGGGTTGTGCCTAGTGGTCCCAGGTGCATCACATAGTACTCTGGAGTCGGGTCCCATCATTCCCCCCCGCTGTCTGTGACTCATCGTTGCATTGTGTATATGATGGTTGTAAAGTATACAGAATTCCCCAGACACGCCGTATCTCCGCACGTGTAAAGGAGTCGGGGGGAGGTAGAGACATGTCGTGTCGTCACGAATGGAGACGTCGGTTACAGATTGGGACGGGAGGTCTGTTTGCTGCCTGGGAGGTCTCATCCCAGGGCGTTTCTCTGCAACGCCGCTTCCCGTTCAGTTTGGAACTTTAGGGCCAGCTTGTACATCTTACCCTCCCGGAAAAAAGAGTCCGAGCTTGGCGAGGCGCTCGACGTCCATGCTGAATGCCTCTGCTATCTTTTCATCCTCTGAAAGATGTCGCGTCGCTTGTCCGCTGTCGGGCACTCCTGCTGGGCCCATCTGCCCTGGGGCGGCCTCTCGAGGGGCGGCGTCC